GTCAAACTTTAGCTGAGAACAGACGCACGGTGTATAAAAAATATAATCACAAAAATATCTTTTATAAACAAGAACAAATTATATTTAAAAAAAAATTGTTTAAAATTACAAAAATTGGTGAAGATCTCTACTCCTGATGGGACGTCCCAGCACCAGTATAGTAACTGTGGTTTCCAGTCAAGCCCCTCCCCTCTTATGAGGGAAGATATTGCCATGACAACCCTAGATTATGCAGCAGTCCATGAAAGACTCTTTTCAGATTAAAAAAAAGAAAAAAGAAAAGACATGAAAGACAGAAACAAGTTATTTGCATTCCTTTTCCATTACACATTTCGTCTGATAGAAAAAAAGGCGGTAAGGTCTATTGTTTGGACGTGTGGGGGAGGGAGTGATCGAGACGCATCTGAAGGCCTCGCAAAACTAATGTGTGTGTGTGTGTGTGTGTGTGTGTGTGTGTGTGTCACAGTCAAAGGACACCTGCTTAGCATGCAGTGCACAATCACAGGCTCAGTGCAAAGATTTCTTTTTTCTTTAAATAACTCAACAGGTACTCTAACTGCTATAGAACTCAAACTTAGAGTCCAATCAAACAGCTTAGATGCACAACAGATGTTTGCTCTAGTTTAGAGGATTAAACAAGAGAAATTAAACTGTGACGAGACAATACACATATGCTTTAACTTCAAAATGGGAAACAAACCAATGATGTATTTTGCCTTGAGTGAACTAGATGAAGAAATCACAGCATCAAAGAAACAAGATGTAAACAGTCAATGACTCCTGCACCTCAAGTTTCACCGATGTGTGGTGATCCTGCAAACCCGGCTCCGACCTACTCCAGAGTTTAAGGACAGAACCAGAATATTCAGAGCATAATTTGAACATCATTTCCTGCTGCTCCGGTTGCAGCCGTCTGCAGCTGCTGCTGTCATTAGTCCAGCCGAGCATGGCGGGATCAGCAGAGAGAGTCCTGTGAATGGCTGCTGAATAATTGACCAACTTCTATTGTCTCATTCATGCCGTTTTGATTGAACATATGTTGACAACCAAATCGCAATGAAAGTTTGATGTGGGAATGGCACATTACAGTGAAACCGTTATCAGGAAGACTGCTGGTAAATGTACAGTACTACCTAAATGAAGCGACTGTAACCAGGAAAAACTGCTAAATATGCAGTTTATTTGAACTAACTCTACTCTTACAGTGATGAGATGTTCTGATAGCAGAACAGGAAACTATATTTACAGTAACACAACCTTTGTGCTATATATGAGACTTACTATAAAATTGGACCTTGACTCAGAGAATGCGCTGATACGGAGGCTTTTTACCTTATTAAAAATAATTGCCGTGTCTAAGAAGCTTTTAAAAATTCAAGTATAAAATAAATCATGTGCTTTCAGAAACCACTTGTGATGCAATTAGTGGTACTTTAATATCCCATTTAAATAGCAGCAATGATAATGTGTGGAATATATTTGAGCAAAAGCCAACACTTATTCTGATTATCATATTGTGTATACAACAAAAAAAATTCTAATTCTTAATACAGAACCCAAAGATATGGCACATAAGCAGCAAGCGATCACATTTCTCAAGCTGGAGCCAGAAAATGTTTGTCATCTTTGCTTAAGAAGGACTGAAACGATTATCGAAATAGTTTAAAAAGCTGCAATAATATTACCAAACTAAAGAAAGAGACAACATTTTCAGCTCTGTAATCCAACATAAGGAAGAGCGTCCAAACAGGAAAGGGAAGCAGTTCATCACATGAACTTTAAAATACAACTGTATGTGTCTCACCCCATGTCTACTTCCTCCAGTTGTCTCTTTCTGCCTCGTGTCTCTCTCAGCGTCTCTGGGGTCAGTTCAGTGTCCTGACTCTCACCATGCGTTCATGTCATGTAGATCTGAAGACAGAAGGAAGAAGGCGTGGACAAGTATTTTGAAAGTGCGTATCTTTATTGGATGATTTTTAAAAGGTACAGTCTGGACATTCCTCTACAAATAGCCCGTTGTATTTGAATTGGCTGCTAATCTCAGTGGTCTTTTGTTGATCTCTCACTGATAATCCCTGTAGCTGTAGTAGAATGAGTCCAAGAAATCCCAGCATGTTGGCATGTATTTATTTATGTGTATAGTGTATTTTAAAGGTCAGAGAGATTTGATGGGACACTCTGTCCTTTAAAGTGACAGGGGGTTAAGGTCATCAGTGGGACACACTGCGGTACAACTCTGAATAGACTGTCACCTGATGTTACAAAGCAAACCATCTCTGAAGAGTGAACTCACATGAACTCAAGATTGCAGGCTTACAAAAAAAAAATGCAGTGAAAGGTCAGAGCCTCATTTTCAGGGGCCATAATTTAATTTTACAATTTTGTATTTTGGTTGCAAATACGCAAACGTTCAGAGCAGGAGGATTTGAAAGGGACCAGAAAAAGATGTTCTTTTTTGTTTCTAAACACCCAGAAACTAATTGCTGTCGTGATAATTGCTCATAAAACAGACAGAAGTTGCGACTCACTCTTTCTAGGGATGCTGCTGCTGAGGCCTCCCTCCTGTCCACGTTGTTGTCCGATCCCACTTGTCTGCTTCATGCCTTCATTCTTGACAAGCAGGAGAACATGCTCGAGCTGCTCTTTTATCCATCGAAATAAAAAATAAAAAAAACCAAGCAGATGTATGTTGTGGTTGACGTGTAAAAAGGGAAAATACCCGTGAAAGTAAAGATCCTGCTCCTCAGATGTCCGGTTGAGCTGCAGGATAAAGAGGGATTGAGAGGAGCATAATCCCTCACACACAGCAACTTTGATCTGGAGATAAACAGGCCGAGTCACCAGACCTTTGACATCTCATGCTATACATTACATGCTGGTCAATGCCTCTAGCATATAGCTTATATACAGTAGACATATCACACAACAGTATGCTTGGTATTCTAGCTTTTTGTCCATTATATTAATCATTTATTTCTACTAGTTATCAAGAAAGCACATGTTCCTTGAGGTTCACTGCTCTCCGGAAACTTCAGTTCTGCTTCTGGAAGAGAAAATCTCAGAGGATTTTATTAATTCAGAATGAAGAGATTGGCCTCGACATGGCTGAATGAACCAGCTCAGGAGAGAATGTAAAAGACAAAGGTACGTCCTACAATTTTATAAAGAAACTGCAAAAGGCCAGAGTGACTTTTTTGTAATTGAAAGTGGTTAACTTGTCTGTAAGGACATATAAATATAGAAGGTGTGAAACTCCAGATCAAACCTTCAAATGCAGCTAAAGTCACATCTATCCATTATGATGATATTGAAAGCCTTACGTCAAAAACTGTATCCAAAAACAACTAAATTATTGCAAAGTATGCAGCTGCTAAAGCTGCATTTTAAAACCTAAAAACAAATAAGAGAACAGGATGAGGGTCTTTAACGGGTCGGCTGACACTCGAGATACTCTGCTGCACCCTGGTGGTTTCAAGGCCGAGGCTCAATAATCAAAGTGGTTCTGTTCTGCTGTCAGGACCTGTTTTACTATAAATAACTCTACCGCATACATTTGGTTTGTGTCTGTCACAATATCAGATTCATGCTACAGGATTATTATGGCCAAAAGAATTAATGATAACGATATTATTGTAATATCTATAGGAAATAGAAAATTTAAAAATCAATCAAATTCATCTTTAACTAACTGCTGTATGAATTATATTCAAAATACGAGCGTAGGGAGGTGGAAATAGATTGTGCTACAATAACTGAACATAAAGTACAATCAATGCTAATGGATAGTGAAAACCAGATGAACTAACATCTGCCATCATTACCTTGTTAGTGTCAACTGAAACAAAATCCCGTGTGGAGAGAAGGGGACAGAGTGTGTGTGTGTGTGTGAGAGAACACAGGCTGAAATTGGGTCAATATTTGTTATTCCCTTTCTTTTATATATATATATATATATATATATATATATATATAGGA